GAGCCTTTTAGCTGGTCCTTTAAGAACCATGGCCAAAAATAGCCCCTAACTGACATGCTTATGTGAGAGAAAATTTCCAAAGGAACGTAAAACTTCAACTTCGAGCTGTTGAGTGTTCTCATAAATGGGCAGTGAAAAATAGTCATCAGAATTGTCTTGGCCTAAATATTGATACCGTCAAAAGAAAGAAAGAATAAAGCAGGATCTCTATAAGAAGCGATATGTTTGTTTCTCAGTGAACAATTTTTACAAATGACATCAAGCTAATCTGTTCTGATGGGCGCAGTTTTTAACTATTTTTGTTTACTTATGAAGTCAACGCTTCAAATATACCTCCAAATTGGCTAGCGGATCTTTTATTCTATACAAATTGTTGTTTTAAGGATCATTGTTACGCACATTATAAGGTAAAACTAAGTGTTGTGTTCTCGGTCATCGTGATCTTGGTGTAATGATCTCAACGAAGGCTGTTTGTGTTGCATAAAATTTGAGGTGCTAAAAATTGCGTATCGCTTTGGAATAGTCAACAAACGAAACGGTTACAGCGAATAAAAATGTTGTGCAAATAAGGGGTTTATAAGAGATTTTGGCCTTAAACACTTTTGCATAAATTATTATGGCAAACAAATGACGTAGAAACCTTATTTTAAGGGCACAAATTTTGCCAGGATAGAAGAGTTATTAAACATATATGGGTAAGATGGTTTATGATACGTGAAGTATGTGATGACCTAATCAGTTTAGTTAGGGTCTAAAGAATACTGTGGGCAAAAGACTGAATCTTAGTCTGACTCCTTTGGTTTGAGTAGCTTGTTTATGCATTCACTTGTCTGTTTTACTTCACCCTATTGTCCAATTTGACGACTTAATTACGCGCACCTTCACCGGTATGTACAAATCATTACTAAAGGCAAGTACGGCAGATAATGTGTGATTCGTAGAATACCAGATTCCCAATTATTCCGTATTTCCACATTCCATTCAACTACATCCATCAATTTTCTCTAACGTGATGGCACGTTTTTTCCTTATTTAAGCCGTCATGGTAAGGTAGAAAGACGAGCCTCAAACTCACTTTTCATTCCTATCTCTGTGCATTTTTTGCCGATTTTACAATCAATTTAGCTATTCAGTCTCTTTGTCTGGCTAATTTGTTACGACTAATCCAAAATTTTTTGTCTTATTGGTCCATGTCAAATTACGATTCGCCATGTAGTCACGGTTGAAAGCCACACATAGGATCATCTCATCAGTACCCACTTCGGCTCTTGTATGCATATGGTGTTTGGTCTATTTGTAATTTATCAAAGGGGAAATCATGAAACTGTTGGCTGATACTTCACCTGACTACCCACATCTCAGCTGATGTCCCAAACTGACCGTGATGTAACCATGACCCTAGCAAGAAACCAGACTTTAAAAGTGATACTAATTTGTCCATAATTTTCCGGTTTTTCCACCAAGGTAATTATCAAGAATGCTCAGGAAGGTGATAAAATAAGCTTGCAAGTCATAAGTGATGAGAATGTTTCGTTAAATGCCGGAAGAGATTTGTAAAAAATCGTGCATTTTCGTGCGCAAAGAAATTCTTTTGTCAACATTTCAATCTAAATTGAACTCCTCAAAGTAAGTCATTGAAGTCAGATTCTAGGCCAAAAGGAAAATAAGGTTAGTGTCTTAATGAATAAAGAACGGCAATTTTTTTATCGTATACGTTGTGGTGCTGATGTTTCTAAGGTAGACACCTCTATACTCTGCTAATACTTATAGTGGGATGGCCAGAAGTGCATATACACACGCAAGTACACACGTGTGCGCACCTAACTTAGGGAATGGTTGCGAGAGCACAAAAAAATGCTTCATTGTCAACGTTAACCTTCCCAACTAAAAAGCTTTTACACTTCTGCAAATGGCTGCTATCATCTTCACCATAAATATGGTCTCTACCTTGATGTAAGCTGTTTCTGCCACCTCTCATTTGCACAACTGTGAAATAGATCAACAAGTAAAATTCATATCGACGAAAACGTTTTCACTGCTTTTAACATATGTTTACTTAAGCTAGAAATGCAAGCCATCAAGAGACATTAATAGAAATCCTACCACCTCAACTGCACGGACACGATAGAAATCGTTGTCATTTGTCATAAAATATTATTTTGGCTTGGCATCCATTCCCCAATCAATTACGACATTATCCTTGGTCGAGGGTAGAAGGAGTAGATAATGATTATTTAAGACGCTTAGAGTAATACGAATGTTATTTAAATGTGCTTTTTAGGTGAGAAGCGTGCAGTGAACTCTAATCTTGTAATGGAAGGGCCATCAGTTTTCTACGAGGCAGAGGAGAGTTTCGAGTCCAGATTCCCCTTAACCTGTACCTATCCCCGATAACGTTAACTAATAGATATTCCCTTATCGAATCAGTTAGTTCTTTCAAGGGATTTGAAGGGCAGAGAGGAATGCGTTGCATTTAGAAAACAGTAGACAGTTTCTAATCTCAGATGGTTATCTATTTACTGTTTTCGGAAAATAGTGTTATTTTAGATATCTTTGCATTAACTAGCGTTCTGGATTGCACAATTACCTCTGTCGAACTCCTGCTTTTAAACGTATTAAAACTTAAATATCATGACTTTGGAATACTTTTAAATGAAACCTATATTATTGCCTTAATATTTGCACGGGTGAAAATGTTAAGTGATTATCCTAGCCTAAGTACGGTTTTTTTTTTCACAAATCATTTCACTAGTTCACCCATTCGTAGTGATGTAAACTTCAAAGAAGACATTCTACTTTCGTGCATTCTTTGTAGGCGCCTCGGCCTTACCGAAGCGATGTCATGATTCTTGTTGTACGGTGAATTAAATCGACAGCAATTTTTAGAGTCAGTGTAACTTATTTCGTTCGTGCTTTGCTTGGTTGACACTTTGTGCACATTTGTCCTCACCCTTGGCGAGTTACGTAGTCATCCCCGCGATTTATGGGAATTGATTATAACTTTGCCTTCTAATTTGAAGTAGCACTTAAAGCACGAACAGAGAGCAGCTTCAAGCTATGGATACGCTCTAGTTGACCGCGAAATGTTAGAGGAAGGCTTCGCTCAAAATTGCATAAACGGAGTCAAAAGTGGGTATAGTTTTGCCTATTTCGAGGAAAATAAACAAAAACCAGATGTTACTTCACCTTACCTTGATTAGAAATATATGAAGTGGTGAAACCTTAAGCAAAATGTTGAAAATACATGAATCATTTTACAGCCTAATATCTTGAAGCTTCTATTTTTCGCACATAATAATTTAATCTGGATATCTTGTTTTTCTGAGCTTCCCTAATTAAGCCATTTCAGAAGAAGGTGACGGTATATGATTTGGGACTTACCAATTGCAATTATGATACGGTTTTAAAAGAAACGGCTCAGTGCTTGTTTAAAATAGCGAAATTAAGGTGAACAGGACAATTTGTTATACTTCTTGCGCAAAGGTGTCCACCGTGCTGCATCGAAGCCGTAGGTGTTATTTACCTGCCAAGAAGCAACCGATGACAATTACCTCAAATTGACTCGCCACTGAAACAACTTATAATGACATGGAATTCCAAAGAATTGTTTGTCTCGAAACCAACCTCGCTTTTCCACTACATCGATGGAAGAGCTTATTTGCTATGAAGATAAGGTCAAAGGTACTTGTCATAACTGCGGATATAGCCGCTCTAGCGTTTCGGCCCTTCCCTTTGGCTACCCTATTTGTGGTAAAGTGTCCAATTCAGCGTGTTTCTAAGCTTAAAGCACACTGGCTTTTTGTGTCTTCGTGTATGGAAGGGATGCCACACAGCATTGCCACAAATAACAACCAGAGTAAATAGATTTCGTTTGAGAACCTATCCAAAGCAAATCGTCCTTTTGGGACCCTATATCATGGACGCATGGTTATAATTTTAATAACAGTGAGGAGTAATATAGAGCTAAATTAATGTTAGGCAGTAATTAACTTTATGGAAAATATTCCAGTAGCTTATTAATCGAAGCAGAACAATATAGGTAGTGTGATTCGTTAATTGTTGTACCAGAAGAGCGATTCGTAGAGCGGACCGTTTTGAAGTTTAGCTATGTAAAACTCAGCAACCGGTTTTAAGTAATCAGCGAAGGATACAAGTCAAATCGTCGACATTAATCTTTGGAGAGGAAATGGCTAGTTTTAATAATTTTTTATTGATTTATGGCAAAACTTACAAACTATTTAGGTAAGTATTAAAAATCGACCCAACTTTATGGAGGATTTACATCTGAGTTCGGCTTTATTCGCGAAATTATCTTGATCATGATCCTTAAGCCTTCAAATACGATTGGTGGATTTCCAGTACGCTTTCACATGCATTTGAATTTTCCAAGTGATCTGTTTTGTACCTTAGAAGGGTATGATTTGGTCGACAATATTCATCCTGGGAACTCCATTATTATTAATAATTTGATCTTATTATAAAGTTAGACTAAAACGGGAGCATTACTTACTCGCGAAATAGTATTTATTTGTATTCGCAAACCGTCATTTTTTTTAGAACGTTATTTTCATTGTCATCGTTTACCCGCTGCTATATATATCACCACTCACTACCATGTTAAGACCAGCGTTTTATGTAGAAGGATAACAGTTGGGAGTACTCTTTTGTTAACTTTAGGGTTTTGTAAAACCCATTTTACTTTGTGCGCAGTGCTGTATTTATTCTTATTTAAGGTGATCGGAATGCAAGCCGTTGTTTTGGCACTTCACGATTCATCCTATCTTCGTCAGCTGACCGCATCCGGTGTAGTCGGCCAGCTTCCTCTGGGTACACGGGGCTCGCTTCTCTCAAACCTTGTCGGCGTCTTTGAATCCGCCGGTATCGTAGATCCTATTATTATATGTCGGTCTGGTCATTCTAAACAAATCGAGAAATGTCTTCCCAAATCTCACCGCTGCATTATTGTCGAAGTATCCGCAACGCTCAGTATTCCTGAATGCCTTTATCGTATTCGGGATCATTTCACGTCTGTTCCCTTTGCTCAGTACGTATTTCTTACATATGCTGATGTTGCGGTGACTGAATTAGACCTTCGTGATCTTTTTCTGAGGATGGTTCGAACTAAAGCAGAGATTGTAGCGTTGGCCTCACCTTACACTGCGGATGCGAAACTTCTCAAAATGGCTAGGGGCACACATGACATATTGGTGTTGGATGCCAGAGACGAGTCGCTGGTTATGTATGTACCGGCCTCGGAAGTGAAGAAGCAGATACGCGTGCCGAAGTCCATAATGTCTTCTCATAGCAATTTGACATGTCGGGCAGATCTTCATGATGCTGGAATGTATCTGCTTTCTGGGTACGCTCTAAGGATGCTCGAATATGATAAGTAAGTGTTTTTCATTGGTCCCGGTGATGCTCACTACGCATGCCTTCCATTATTAAAGTAATGTAGCATAAGGTTTAGTGTGTTCGTTGCCCATGTGGTGGGGAATTTTAAATGAAACCATTCGGTTTTGTTTTCCTTTTGAAATAATGATTTTAACACCATGTGCGGACTTAGTTATTTTGCTATTCATCCTATTTTATGAAGATCACTTCAATTATGAGGTAATTTACAATCACAGTTTATTAAACTCCCAGTATTCCATTACATTCAAGGATTCGATCATTGGGATGGTTAATTTTAATGTAAATTACCTAGGGATGATGTCGGTCTAAGAAAGTCTTTCTTCAAGCACATTGTCAACGTTGAACAGCACAAACTCTTTCAATTTGACACCAGCTCGAGTGAGTAAAAGTTCAGCTGTCTTTAAAACATTGCACTAGTCTGATTTCCCCTCGTTTGATTACAAGTTGCTTCTTTTTGAGTTGAGGTGTCTTATTATTAGTGGTTTTGTTTTTTATAACCCTCTCAGTACTCTTACTCTCTCACGTCTACCCTCTATTTGTCCTACCAACTCATCAGTGACAAGCCAGCTGCCAAAATCACTTCACTACTCGCAGGAGGAGATGCCGCAATATGCCAAAGTCGTTATCTCGGTTCTCGAGAACGCACCCGTCTGCCGTCGCCTGGACTCGACTCTCGGCTATCTGGATGCTGTTAAGATGGTGCGTTGACGGGGTTTTGAAATCAAGGGTTAATTTGACCATACCTCCAGCAGAACGCAATTACGCGCCCCCAAACTGTTCACATTCTTCAAACAATCTTGGCGGCAAATTTTGTAATGTGACAGCAAAGACGTCCAAAGGTTCTAAAAATTAAAAAGCCTTGTTTAAGAGCATTGTTGTTTGTGATATCTTGAGAGCTGAATGCTTCCCCACCAAGATGTGCTTCATTTCGGGTGGTAGCTCACCTTAACAAACGATTGACTACTTTGCGTAATGGGATACTAGATGATGTTCGCAAGCGAATGCAATGTTTTTAGATTCATTTGACGTCCTATAATTGTTTCAAACACTTGTGATAGTCGAAGGCGGCACTTCTTGAATCAGACTTACCAAGATCTTAATCCACTGATATGATTTGAAGGGGTAACTTGAAACTGAAGTATATCATGCCCTACCCAGATCTCTTTTTTGGCTTTTTTGTGGTAAGAACCAAATTTGTTGGCCAGAATGGGACCATGTCCGCATTCTGTGCTCACGAGAAAGATGTCTAATTTACAAATGGTTTCACAATTATTGGTCTGAAATGATTGTTAACGTTATCGGTGCAAATGCACTGCATCTTAGAGCCATGCCAAAGCTCGAAACAATTGATTCTGACTTTGTACCTTAAAAAAATCCAACCTTGTTAGTAATCGATTACTTGCCCTCTAGATCCGGGAAAAGTACCCCCCAGAAAACACAATGGTTGAAAAAACGGCTTCAGTTGCTAACGCTAGTGGCGGTGGTCGTCAGGTCGGCCAAATAGTCGATACCATGCAGTGCGAGGGTTGTAACTTCGCCAACGGGGTGCTTATCCGGTCCTGCATTATTTGTGCCAGTTGTACTGTAGGCCAGAGTACCCGACTCTTCAGCTCCGTTCTCCTCTCCGGTGTTGTGGTGGGCAGTGGGTGAGTGATCTTCCTATAGTGCGTAGGAGAATGAAAATTTTAGTAAAAGCTGTCGACATTCTTTTATCTAAACTGCACAATGTGTGATTGTGACATCTTCATTGCTCGCTTCTTTAGTCAATACATGACAACACTTTTCATACTATCTTCTACCCCCTCTGACCTTCATCTTAAAAACGACTGAATTGGACATTTGTTTGCACTGCTCGTGCAAAGCTGTTGATGTTAGTTGACGTGGCTTGTGAATAAATATTCGGGGGATTTTAAAAGCGAAAATCCGTCTTTGGATTTGTAATATGTGGAAGAAATTACTATAGTGTGTTCTCATTTTCTCCATGTCGGGGATTGGTTTCTTCTCTGGTCGACTAGTCTTTTCTCAATCACCACTGTCGGTTCACTTATAATCGAATCAACAGGTGGACTTCAAAACCTTGTAGTCTGTTTGACCCCTCTCTCTGGTGTGCTCGCAATGCTCCGGAAATAATCGATCTGCTACAATCTAGCATTAATGTAATGCGAGGCTGATCCACCTTCTTTTTCACCCTGCTGGTGCTACTGGAGGAAATATGCTATAGACTCCAAGAGGACTTGGAAAATCGTTGGGATATTTTTGCTCATTTTCAACTACAGCTCTAAGAGCATTGGAAGTAAATATTAATAGCCTGCGTCTTATTGCTGTCCATTGTACTTGAGAAGACGCTCCTGACACTCTGACCACAAGTGCCACCATGGTCAGGCTTTTCAAGCAGCAAATTGTCTGATGCTTCAAAACAAGGGTTTTACGCAGGGCTAAATTCACTTCACCTTGGAAGAATCGTCTCTGGTATATTATGCAGTTAACCCTGCTGCTATCTCATGCTGATTGAATAGTGCTTTTTGTCAGTTATGTTCAACAAGTTGTCACTTTTTTATCAAAGAGGTATCTCTGCGATTGTATCTTTAGATGCAAAATCACGAACTGCGTGATCGGCGAAGGTGTGACAATCGACGACAACTGCACCCTCAAGGACTGTACAGTGGCCGCACACCAACGCATCCCTGCAAAGTCAGTGATGCAGTCAGAGAACATGGGTTTCTCTGAGATTGACTTTGACAACTTAACCATATAAGTACCCCACATTCCAAAATTATGGCAATCTACGCTTTATTAACGTGCTGCCGTACGTGCTTTTGGAGGGATTCTGTTTCTCTCAAATAAATGTTGGATGGGATTCCCTTATCAAGGGAGGTGGAAGGGGCGTGGACATCTTTTTCGGTTAGTCGCTGGTTGTGTGTAGTGGGTAGGGCTCACTTCGTTGAAGTGGGGTTGGGGTTCTTGCGGATACCGTGTTCCAGAAGCTGGGTCGTCGCAGCAAGCGACGGTTTGGGTAGTTACGTTCGGCAGTCGCGTTGTAATGGATTCAGTGTTTATTTCTTCCTTAGCCTTCATTCACTTAGAATGAGTAAAGTTGGACGAGGACATGATTTATCAAGTAATAACCACTAAGGAGTGCAGATTTTGCGGGATAGACGTGTTTAGAGTATGCTTTTTATGGGGATTGTAAAAGTCCGATGAAACATAAGGTTTATCTAGACAATCATGCACCAGAAAATGCTCATCAGTTTAAGAAGCTTTGAAATATGGGAACAGCAATCGATCCCCAAATTACTCAACGATTAAAGCACTTTAGGAAAAACAAACTTAGGGACTAGAGAAGTACATCTTGATTAAAATATTCCTAATTAGGTAATAAAATATGTAAGGACTTTAAATTTTTGCTACTCAAAAAGCGGTAAAACAGTACAATAAGGTTTGCAGTGACTTAGCGTAGCCACATACTAAGCAAAAGTCTTGGGGCATGAATAAGTTCTTAATGAGAATAATTAAATTCGCCAAGTTTCAGTGTTTAAGTATGCTGAACCGTGTTGCGCATTTCATAAAACCATTAGGATGTCCAGAAAGCGGCATAGGGACTCTTCTTACGATACCGACTGTAGTCCTGCGTATTTTGGCTTACATCCTGTAGATAAATTTTATCCAAAACGTGGACGGCCTGATCGCGACACAATAGAGTCGCTTGTATATAGGATCGGAAGCAAGGTTTGCTGATGAATTGATTCTGGTACTTTTGTAGGCTACTGATAAGATTCATAAGGACATCAGTGAACTGTGCATTCTCTTTTGTGCTGAACTGGATAAGAATCTTGAACATCGGATTAAGTTAATTACTTCGTGGTAAAAATCGAATTTCGAGCCTACTATATTTTAAGCGCCAAGAATATTCCCGAGCGCATGCAAATTTACACGACCCTTCTTGGGTTGATAAATCTGAAGAATCACGACTTCGTTTCTAGGGCCGTTGATGCCATTGTCAGAGATTTGAGGGACGCTCTTAAATCTAGCTCTTTTGATGATGTGAAATATTTGGTAGTTTTGTGGTTCATATTGCTCACTGCTAGGTTCGATTCTTATCTAACTCGGTGAACTGCAACATTATTCATCCAGCCAGTCTGCTATCTCTTTATGAGAATTTCGCGGAAGTTACTTTGGATGTTTGCTCAAGTTCACAAGCGCGAACGGATTGGTATTCTTTTGTTGTTCTTTCCGCACTGCCCTATGTATGTTCCTCTTTTCTTTTCTTGACAAATTTTAGAGCGCAAGGCGCCTTAATGATTACAACTCTTCGGCTTTAAATGCAGTTTTAAGCACAATTAGCGTGTACTTGTCGTAAGTTCTTATTTATATAGGTTAAATTTGGTGTACGCGATTTTTTGCTTTATATTGCGGCGAACTTTCATCGCTGTGCGGATGTTACTTAAGTTATGTACTGGCTTTAGTTATTGTTTATTGGATTTCATGCAGGAAAAGGCGAACACTTCACGTTCCCATGCTTCGTGTCTGGGATAACTTTGATCCACACCCTCAGGAGGATGTAAGTATCGGATTACCCTTTATTTCTATCAGAAGTGAATAGTTGTTTTTCATTCTCAGATTTTTTTGCATTCATAGTATTTATCGTGCTTGTGGTCACAAATAACTTCAATGAAAAATGCCAATTGGAAGGAACATGTACTTTGGCGTATTTCGGACGCATTTCCATCTCTTCGTGAATCTGGCCAGCCTTGCGAGTTTGGGCAGGTAATAATTTGTCTTCGTAGTTTCTTTAATAAATAACGTATCTTTTTTCTCACAATGGTGCTAATTTTAACTCCCATCATTCCTAACATCGTTTCTTGCCGTTTATTAATTTCAAACTATTTTTAGTTGAACTTCACTCGAAAAAGTCATTTAGAAAATGTAGCAATGGGAGCTTTATTGTCACTTGACGTTAACCTCCAGTGTTTAGTTAACTGTCCCATTAAATACAAACTCAAGACTCTCACTAAAAAAACTAAAAACGCCAATAATATTTCACTCAGTGTTTACCGCACCGGCGTCCAGATTACTCAACGGTAAAACACGTTCAGACTCCAAATTCCTAATCCTAATTTGATTTTCCTTCTCTGAATTTTGCAGTTTTGGAAAGGACCTTATCACCTTGCCTGCTATTATGTTCATCCATTTTTGCTCTCAGATCACACCACCGGACTATGATTCAGAAATAGTCTATCCTCTGCCTCAAGTTGTATTTCGCATGTTCGACTACACGGATGTCTACTGCCCAGACGACGATGTAGCGGTAGATGGTGAAAAGGCTCGGGACGTATCTAAAATCTCACCTTTGAATTCCCCCACCCTGCCTGGTGCCCACACTATCGAAAGATTTTTGGTGGATGACCAGATTCATATCATCCTCGAAACAATGCATTTCAATCGCATTATGTGGTGCGCAGCCCTTATTTTGGTAGTAGTACTGGCCGTACATGTTACACTGGTCCGCCTGGATCTTTACGTTTACTTGCTGTTACCACTTTTGCAATCAAGCGCGCATTTTAAACAAATAATTATCCGTTATTTTTTTATTTCCAGTGCTCGAACTCTTTTGAACCTACAAACACGCGCTAAATTGGCTCTCGACTATATGATAGTAGAGGCCATATTTGCTGATATCTTTCGTCTCCCAAAGCCACCAGTGCGCCATGGAAATCTCCTGTTCTACGCCTCTCTCCTCATTCAACTCTGCAACGAGGCTGTCAACACCATACCTTTAGTGCTTGCCCAGGCTACGGGGATCCTTTTCGAGCGTCTAGATAGTATGAAGCCTGTGTGCATTGCGAGGTGAGGTTCATTTGGTGCTTATTTTCGACCCATCTAGATTCGTGGAGTGGTTTTCTTTCCACCTCACAAACTATCAATTGAAGTGGAGCTGGCGCGACTGGTCTCTTGCCCTAGGGGAGCCGGTGATGTCGCCTCGACGATGGTTCATTTCCGAGACTCTGTGTCGCCTCGTACGCTACTCTTACTACGAGAACGTCAAACAGCGCCTTCCACGTTCTTTCTACTGTCTTTTACCACCCCAACCAGGCCCTATCAATCCCTACGATAAAGCGTGTAAGTCTTTTTATCTTCTGGAATCAGGAGGCGTCGAGAATAGCTGGACAAAAGTCTTGCTTTTTACCTGCATTCAAAGGTTACTGTTTTATTTAGTAATTATTCTATGCCTCTACAGCGGTAAAATTCATGTCTTAATAATTGATATTGTTTTTAGCCACAGCTCAGCGGCGCATCTTCATTCGTGTTTTGGAAGCATTCCACCAGCGCCACAGTTCCGATGACTTACTTAATCTTATCCGAAGACTCGCTTCTCAGAGGGGTGACGATTTTGACGACTCCGATCTAGAGCCGTATCGTCAGTCACGAAGTAGAAGCAGAAGTGGAAGCAGCAATCATCCCCATCACTCCAACTCCTACTCCGAAACGGAGGGTTCAGTTGAGATGGATGGGAGGGATCAGCGTTCGCGTCCCGCTGCTCATCGTCACCTTGATGGTGATAAGAGGGGTGGATCTCGTTCGAACTCAAGCGCATCCTCTGCCTCCGCTACATCCGAGAAGAGTCGTCCCGTAAAAAATGAATTGACCTCCTCCAAAAGGGCAAGAAATAAGGAGAAAATGGAAGATAATGAGGATGACTTTGATAACTGTTTGGTACCTGGTGTAACTAATCGCGAGCTGGAGCTCTTCATGACTGCTCTACTTTACCGTGCTCACAAGACTATCAGCCACACTTGTTCCTTACTCAATCGGTAAGTAGAGTTGTTGATGACATAACTGAGTTTCTGAAAAGTGGGATAAGGTTCCCTTGGCTTTGTAGCAATTATTTATCTTAGTTATTCATTTGTCATGTAGTCAACACAGCGATTATGGGGTGTGTCTTCAGATTTAATGCATTTTTCTTTGTTGGATCTGATAGATATCAGTACTGCAGTGCTCGATGAATGAGTGAGCTACCGCTTTGGGGTCTTGAATTTGCACGCCTGGCTTTTATTCAGGCTCATTCTTCGCTAAATGGTTCATGTATACTACTCTAATCAATATAGGTACTCGGAAGCATTCAAGACGTTGGCGTCAACAGTGGAACTGCAGGTGGAGGCTCTGCACATTCTGCAAGCAGTGTGGTGCAACCAGTCGCAAATGGTGGTGGCTATTTCGGACTACATGTCGCGTCAGGGTATGCTGGATCCCGAGTCTGTGGTGGGGTGGGCTTTTTCACCCTTTATGTCCGCCTTCTGCGGCCCCCTTGCTCCTCCACCCTCCACTGTTCACGTATGTCCTCGAATGCTGCAGTAAGTCCTCTTTTTCTTCTTTTATTTCTTTTTGATCCAAAACATGCCCATCCCTCATAATTTGGCTTTGTGAAATGACATTTTAGGTCACATGTGTGGGAGTGTCTCATGCATACACTGGTTCGAGTTGGTCAACGCATCGCCCAAATCACACCGAGACTGGAAGCTGTTAAGGATCAAGCAGGCGTGCACCATCGTAAGGTATGGCCTTTCGAAGTATACAATGCATAATAACCCAAGTAGAAAAGCGTGTGGTATTTTTGGAGATGTTTGCTTTCAGTCCGCAAGTGGATCCCGATCTGACGGCAGCTCCAGTGACCTAGATAACGACTACGGTGACGGTGATCTGCGCACCAAAATTGTCCGTGTTCGCCGTCGACACCAACGGCATTGTCGCGTCGGGAGCCACGGCAGTAGTAGCGGTGGTGGTGGCGGTACCTCACCTGACCGCCTGGCGCGTCTGAAGGAGGAGCGTGGTGAGGCGGTGCGTTCTCAATGTGCAGTCATCACCCTTCTGCTTCACCGTCACGTCCGTCTCGTAGCAACGGTTGAAGCGAAAGCGACAGAGGAGATGGGGGCCCCAGACAACCCGAGTGATCTTGTCGATCTGGCATCCGTGGCCTACTGGCTTAAGGGACGCCTTATGCAAACTGTTCTGGAGGTGCGCGTCTTATGGCCATCATTTTGCCATTGTTGATTTATAAGAGCTTCACAATATTTACTGAGATTTATTTAAGTAGGTGATGTATTGGGTATGCTGACTTCACTAATCCTTTCCATCTGAAATGCTTTATGCATACGGAATTCGGAGATGTTACATATTGACAGTACCCTTAATGCTGTGTTCGTTTTGGTGCATTTTAGCATCAGGATCAACTGTTACCATACATGGACAATCTGGAGGAGCTGATGTCCGATTTGACACCGTTCGTGGGTGACGTGTTTCAGGCATTGCGAAGCCTCTATACCTGAGTCGTCCTACTCTGGATGGTTTTGCTACCTCTCGTCTCCTCTAGTATTTCCATTTATACGTAATATATACCTGCATTGTATTTCGTTTGACTCTTTTCACCTTACTGATATGCAACAACCATGTACATGTATCAGAATTCAATTGTAATTTGGACTCATTCAAACTCATTTGGTCAGTTTGAACCCCAATTGTGATAGGCTCAACTTTGTGGCAAGTCTATTGATAACAGTATAACTGTAAACTGACTCATTAGGGAAGAGTTGCCTTGTCTATAACCAGTGCTCGAAATCTGCCGCATTTTCACAAAGATTCTAAATACCGCAGGCTGTGTGCAGGAAGGCTATTCAAAAGCGAAAGTAGTTAATGCAGGTTTGAATTGTGATTTGCCTCACGACATCGTGGACTTAAAACACCAAGACCATTAGCCGATAAAAAGAGATAAAAGATTCACGAGAAAGTACTTTACCATTGACTTACTATCTACCTGCTTTAACAGACAATTTGGATTGACGCTAGAGCAGAATTTGCTATCATACAATTATGGAATGGTCTTGAGGCTACTTTTGGATTGAGCAACCACCCACTCGTGCAAATCCCAGTAGACTTCTGTCAAGCTGCGGGTGTGAAAGACCAAGAGCCTAAATCCGCATCAGCATCCAATCTAACAATCAATCACGTGACTCCATTACCGACTTTGTTACCGACGTACACAGGTGAGCAAAAGGGGGTGGTACGGCGAGTGCATACGACCCTGACAACTGAATAGCTAAAATCATTCGGCTAAGGCAGGTGTAACTACAGCAACTGATTGACGTCGAAATTAAGGCAATTATTAGTGTACTCAAAGTGCATCTATAGTTGATCTCAGCTTACCATGACGAAGTGAGAGAAATCGCGATTGTTAGGAAATTCGGCAAGCTATTCACAAAACGGAGACTTCCAACGAATCGGATGCGAACTTTTTTCTTTAGTCGCTCGCATTCCTGGTAGTTCTTAAGACAAGATATCTATTTTGCACAAAAATATGTGGATTTGCTAAACAGACCTCTTTTCGGTGATATTTTGACTTTAAATCGTGGTTTATTGGTATTGTTAGTTCAGGTAAATAAATTTGAATTCTATTTCTGCTCATCAGTAAAGCTGTTCACTACCAGACCGAAATAAAGTTTAAAATATAATGTGCCCTATTTGTGGCATCAAAATAATTAACATTAGCAACATAACGGATCTGGGAGATTGCCAAATTATGGGTGGAACATCAATCCATCCTTCCATGTATACATGTTGAGTAGAGATTAGGAAAAAGCTTTGTAGCATGGTAGAATTAAAATAATAGGTATTTTGGGGATGCTGAACGTACCTTATAGGGTGGGGACATCAAGGTTACTGTACAGATGTCCATTAGTTGGATATCGTGATTCGACACAATCACAACGGAAGAAGTTCTCTTAAAGCTGAAAAAAAAATGCTTTTTGGACCTCGAGTCACATTATGCCATAGACACCAGTCTATCAGACTAACGTTGTGCTCGTTTGAAGTTGTCAATAAACCCCGTCTCGTCCGTTGGATTGGGGGTGAGGGGGTTGAAAGTACAAATGTGTAATAAGATGTTGATGACAATAGTGATTGAAATCCCATAATCTGAACTGTGTTGCGTTGTCAGTGTCTACATACTGGGTAATGAAGCAGTTGGAGATTTTGGTGAATTTGGCACCCGGATGATACCTTACCGACTATCGGTAATTTCAAAACGTTTTAATAAAGCTGTCAATATCCTCCCTCATGTGCGAGCAGTAAGCGAAACTTCTGGCAACGGACTTTTTGCAGCTGACGTTAGGGTGATCGCTGTAGATTTGGCAAAGTGACCTCTTACGTAAAAGCATGGGCAAATCAGCGTGACCGCCAAACATCAGCCAGCTTTCAGCTAAGCAGAGTCGCGATGGGGAAACGGTGCAACAATAAGATAGAGATTTGCTGTCGTCGCTATGCGACAAATATGGCCTAATATTTCCCCACGAAGCGCACTGCTTGCAACACCGTTTTTGTTGAATACAGGGGGTATTCCAACAGAGCGCGTGAAA